GCAAACCCTTGTCCTTGCACTTGTCTAAGCAGGCGCTTAGTTCACTGAGCTATCTCAACAGCCCCAGAGTCTGGTTTTTAATCTTGGACTTGCTCTTGCCTTAGGTACATTTGCTGGACTTCCCCAACATTGTGATCAAAGGATCCGAGCTCCAGCTTCCCTTCCAAGCTTGTCTCAAAGTGGAAAAGTTTGGGGATCTTATCCTTAAAGCCACTGAGCCTCAGATGGTTCTCTTCAACCTCTATGATGACTGGCTCAAGACTATCTCATCCTACACGGTAAGAAGTAACCCTAAGAAGAGTCTCTAGGATCAGTGGATTAGGTCGGTGAAGATACTGTGCTTTAGGGTTCCCTGTAGCCCACTTATTGGGCAGAAATTCTACTGACTGCTGAAGGGATCGGATTTGAGAATTTAAAACCAGTTCTTGAGTTTTCTGAAACAGTGTGACAGAGAAAGGGTGAAAGCCTCAAGCAGCTGACTTCCCTCTGTTCTTCCAAATCTCTTCCCAGGCCTTCTCCCGTCTTATCCTGATTCTGCGTGCCCTGCATGTGAACAATGACCGAGCAAAGGTGATCCTGAAGCCAGACAAGACGACTATTACAGAACCCCACCACATCTGGCCCACTCTGACTGATGAGGAGTGGATCAAGGTGGAGGTGCAGCTCAAGGATCTGATCTTGGCCGACTATGGCAAGAAAAACAAGTGAGGAGGGCAGAGGGGCTGGAGAGCCAAAAAAGGGTGAAGTGGGTGGCACTGTACTTGAGTCCTGAGGTTTGGAAGCATTTAGGCTCAGAAGTTTCTTACGTGGTGTAGGCACTGATTTTTAGGACTTCAGTCTGACGCTAGCCATTGTTTCTCTGTGTGGGTTTTCTTTTCGTTTCTTTTCTTTTTTTGCAGTACCAGGGATTGAACTCAGGAGGCTGTGCTTGACAGGCAGGTGCTTATTCTACTGAGCTATCTCCCTAACCCTATTGTTTTCTTTTTTCTTTTCTTTTTTTTTTTTTTTTTTTGGCAGAACTAGGGATTGAACTCAGTCCCTTGCACTTGCCAGGGAAGTGTTTATTCTACTGAGCCATCTCCCCAGCCCCTCCTATTGTTTTCTTTTTGAGGAAGGTGTTTCTTCGGTGCCCATATATTACAGGGAGTTTAAATGACCAGGCTTTAAGTACCCTTGCTGTTAACACGCGAATGCCCCTCCCATTCTCTCCCACCCTCATAGCGGCCATAAATACCCATAGATGTCTGAATACCTTTTAGGGTCACAATACTACTTCCGACTGGTTCTCATTTTTGAGAATGGTCCTGTGCCAGGTCATTTTTTTGTGATGGGAAAGTGGAAGATATGGATGCGGAACAGCTAGTAGGTACTCATTCAGGGTGTGGTCTGTTCACATGTGATGAGTCTTAGAAGTATTAGTGCATCCCCACTCCAAGGTGTCACCCCAGGATTATCTGAGCAGGAGTATGAACTGCCCTTGTATCAAATGATAGCCTAGCTATGAAGGCAAAAGTGACTAAGGGGATGGGATCCTTGAGTAACTAATTCACTGTCCCCACAGCGTGAATGTGGCATCACTGACACAATCAGAAATTAGAGACATCATCCTGGGAATGGAGATATCAGCGCCATCCCAGCAGCGGCAGCAAATAGCAGAGATTGAGAAGCAGACCAAGGAACAGTCCCAGCTGACAGCAACACAGACCCGTACTGTCAACAAACATGGTGATGAGATCATTACCTCCACCACCAGTAACTATGAGACCCAGACTTTCTCATCAAAGACTGAATGGAGGGTCAGGTAATGTGACGAGCAGAAAGGCAGGGATGAGCTAGGCATGGTGGCCCACGTCTGTAATCCCAGCACCGTGGGAAGCTAGGCATGGGGTTTTGCAAGTTTGAGCCCAGCCTGGGCAAGTTATCGAGAACCTGTCTCAAAAATAATAAGGCCTGGAGATCTACTGAAGCTCAGCATAGAGGGCCTAGGTTCAGTCCCCTACGGCAGCAGAAGTGGAAAGGCCTGCCGGGGGCCAGAGGTGTTTGGAATGGGACATGTTAATATTCCCTATTTGTTTTTAGGGCCATATCTGCTGCCAACTTGCACCTACGGACCAATCACATTTATGTTTCATCTGATGACATTAAGGAGACTGGTTACACCTATATCCTTCCCAAGAACGTGCTTAAGAAATTTATCTGCATATCTGACCTTCGTGCCCAAGTGCGTATACTTAAGTGAACTGTACTGTCTGCCCATGTGTGTATTATGTGCCTAAAAGTCAGCCGGTGTTTCCTTAAACTTGATGTGCTGGTTTCAAATTCATGGATAAATAAAGACAGAACGACAGCCACAAGAGGCTTTGGTGCCCAAGAGACTGCAGTATGTTTTATAAAGCAGTATTGGCTCAGAAGTTACTGGGAGAGGGTTCAGGGATGTATCTCAGTGGCACAGTACCTGCTTGGCAAGTGTGAGATCCTGAGTTCAATTGCCAGAAACCGCACCCTACTACCACCCCCGTAAAAACACAAAACCATGATCAAGTAGTAATTTCTGACGAAGGGTATTACAAAAGACAAACTAAAAACAAGAAAGATTGCTGTAAGTTTGAGGCAAGTGTGGGCTGCATAAGGGTTGAAGGCCATCCTTAAGTAGAGTGAGATCCTATCTCAAAATAAAAAGTAATCAGGAGGGGCCGGGAGACCATTACTTTGTCAGATTTGAAGACTGCTAGTATCCTGTGTGAGTGAGTTTATAGGAAAGTTTGTCTTTGTTGATAGTAATGTAAAATTAGAATACCACCTAGTGCTGTTTTTCCAAGTGTGTATTCAGCCTATGGAAATTCAGTACGCTGTACACTTGCTTATGGACAGTGTACTCAGTAGTTAGCGATGGGGGTGTTTGTGAGCAGTGCCCACCCTGGGACTGCACTCAGGAGGTTGTGATACTGGAAGTCCAATGAGGTCGTGAGGTCCGAGTGCAACAGGTACTCCTCCAGGTGACTCTGACACAAGGAGTTCTGGCACATTTTGAGAATTTTTATTTTACTTCTTGGAGTTGGCAGGAAATACAGGCTGATAGCCCAGACTGCCTGGTTTTAAGAAAAATAGCTTTGGTTCCTGATGCCCCTCCTTTCAGATTGCAGGATACCTGTATGGGGTGAGTCCACCAGATAACCCCCAGGTGAAGGAGATCCGCTGCATTGTGATGGTGCCACAGTGGGGCACACACCAGACTGTGCATCTGCCTGGCCAACTGCCCCAGCACGAGTACCTCAAGGTGAGTGGGGTGATGGGAGTATGGGGGCTGCCACCAGAGAGGCTCTGGGAAGGCGGGCATGCTACTCATTGCTGAGTTTTCTGAACAGTTCTTACTGCTCTTTGCCCATAGGAGATGGAGCCCTTAGGTTGGATCCACACTCAGCCCAATGAGTCCCCCCAGCTATCGCCCCAGGACGTCACAACCCATGCCAAGATCATGGCTGACAACCCATCCTGGGATGGTGAGAAGACCATTATCATCACTTGCAGGTAGGCTTGGGCCCTGTGTTAGAAGTGTGGTCAGGCAGGTACTGAGGCCAGGGGTGGGAATGATGGCCTGAGCGCTCATCCTGTCCTCTCTCTCAGCTTCACCCCAGGCTCCTGCACGCTGACAGCATACAAGCTGACCCCCAGTGGCTATGAATGGGGCCGCCAGAACACAGACAAAGGCAACAACCCCAAGGGTTACCTCCCCTCACACTATGAGAGGGTCCAGATGTTGCTGTCAGACCGCTTCCTCGGCTTCTTCATGGTCCCTGCTCAGTCCTCGTGGAACTACAACTTTATGGGTAAGTAGGCTTTTTTTTTGTGGAACGAGGGATTGAACTCAGGCCCTTGCCTGCTGATTCTACTGAGCCATCTCCCCGGCCCTAGTGGGCTGTTTTTGTTGGGAAACACAGTACAAAAGTGGTGGTGAGGTAGGGATAAGGTGAGCCATCACTCTTAGCACTTGGGGCCTGATTGCCTTGGAAAAGACCCAGCGGCCCAGGTTAGGAGAGGCAGGTGGACTCTTGTTAACATTTGATGTTTATTTCTCCCCTAGGTGTCCGGCATGATCCCAACATGAAGTATGAGCTGCAGCTGGCAAACCCCAAAGAGTTCTACCATGAGGTTCACAGACCATCCCACTTCCTCAACTTTGCTCTCCTGCAGGAGGGTGAGGTCTACTCTGCAGACCGGGAGGACCTCTATGCCTAGTATTTCCCCTCCTGCCTAAGATTCCCCAAAGGTTGGAACCCCTTTCCCTCACTTGACAGGCTGGTGACATTCAGCAGCTTGATCCCTTTTCCCTCTTGTTCTGTGCTTGTGTTGATGGTGTGTAATTGTGAACAAAATGTTATAATAAATTTTGTATAAATAGGAGTTGAGGGTGATGATTGTGTCCCTGTCCCACCCCCACACACCCCCAGCCTAAATTCTGGATTTGGAAGGCAGGGACAGAGCAGCTGTTTACACAGGGTGCTTTTCTTGTCCTTGAGAAGGTAACAAGGCCACCTCTTTTCAGGCCTTTGGGGCTAGATACCTCCCTATCTGGCGGGGGGGGGGGGTTTGGCTTACACACACTATAGCCTTTTGCAGATATGCTAGTTTCTCCGCAAAAATACTTGCAAACCATCCTCGTCCCTTTCAGCAGCACCTCAGAGTCCAGGCTGTCCTGGAGCTCTGCAGCTTGTGCTGTAGCTGTAGGGCCCGACCCAGCCCCTTCTATGAGGCTTGTCACTCCTGGCAGGTAAACAAGTATGTGAGGTGCATCTGGGCAGAGTGTTGTGGGGTGAAGGCCACTCACGGGTGTTGAACCTCATCTGCCTGAGCGCCTGCTGGCCAAGTCCACCTCCTGATTCCAAGTGCAGGGGTGGAGCCTGGACCTGTGACCATGGGGAGGGCTTGCCACAGTGACCACTTACAGCCCTGGGCCTCAGCTTTTGGATACCTGCCTGGAAGTTGGCTGTCCGGTTTCCTGTGACCTTGGGATTTGAACAGGACACAGGCCCCAGAAGGCCTAGGGCACTGTCCCCTATTCCTAGGGCCTTCTCCCTTAGTCGCTCCTCCCTTGTCCCTGATACCCCGCCCCTTACAAGTCTGTACTTCCTAGGCCGGGATTGTTTGGCACCTTCCTGCCCCAATTGAGGGTGGGAGTGCCTTTGGGGAAAATGGAGCCGAGAAGGGAGGCTCCTGGACCATCCGGCGGGGGGCCTCGCATGGCCATGGGGTCGGGGACCGCCGCAGAGCTTGTGTACCATCTAGCGGGGGCCCTGGGCACGGAGCTGCAAGAGCTGGCGCGCCGCTGCGGGCCCGAGGCGGCGGCCGGGCTGGTGCCCCTAGTGGTGCGAGCGCTGGAGCTCCTGGAAACGGCCGCCGTGGGGTCCGCCCCAGACTCGGTGAGTCGCTTGCCCCGCTCGCCTCCGCGGGGCCGGTAGACCCTAAACCTGCTCTCGGGCCTCCTCAGCTGCAGGTGTCCGCGCAGCAAGCGGAAGTGGAGCTGCGGCGGCTGCGGGAGGAGAACGAGCACCTCCGCAGGGAGGCGCGCGCCGGGCCGCAGGGTGAGTTCGGGCCCGGTTGGCACCAGGGCCCTGGCGGGCTGGGGCGCGGCCACAGCCTCGGCACCCTCGGGCCGCCGCCAAGGTTGTCCCTTCCTTAGAGGACCGCGCGCTGCTGCGGCAGCTCAAGGAAGTGACGGACAGGCAGCGGGACGAGCTCCGAGCACACAGCCGCGACCTGCTGCGACGAAGCCAGGAAACTGAGGCGGTGAGAGCGGGCTGTCGGCGCGGCGGGGGCGGGACTCTGGCGGGTTCGGGCCCGCCCACCAGCTCCCCCCTCGCCTCGCCCCGCCCCCAGTTACAGGAGCAGCTACAGCGCCTCCTGCTGGTGAATGCGGAGCTGCGCCACAAGCTGGCTGCCGTGCAGACCCAGCTGCGGGCTGCGCAGGACCGCGAGAGGGAGCGTGAGCTGCCGCAGGGAGGCGCCCACGAGGCAGCTAAAGGGCAGCAGCAGGAGCCCGAGCGGGCGCCCCCTGAGAACGTGGTGAGTGCCAGAGGAAGGCAGGATCCCTCTCTCCCAGAACTGGCAGTTGGGCCCTGGGCCGTTGGCTGTGCCGTGCAGTGGGTCCACAAGAAGTCAGAGGTCGCACACGGGTTTGTGCCCCTAGCCAGCTGCAGCCCCCCCACAGCTGCGGCATTGCTGTTACCTGCTGTAGTGTGCTTGTGCTTGCATCTCGAGTCTCCCTGCTGGGTACCTTGCCTAGCATTCCTGTGATGGCTTTGGGTTTTCCCAGGTGGCTGCCATGCAGCAGCCAGGTCACCAGGTCGAGGCAGGGCAGTGTGGCTTCAGCCGGGAGGAGCTGGAACAGATCCTTCAGGAGCGGAATGAACTCAAAGCCAAAGTGTTCCTGCTCAAGGAAGAGTTGGCCTACTTCCAGCGGTGAGGGTCTGGGAAGGCCAGGAGCCTCCACTCGCATCTGTTCTGGGGCCTCAGGTCACCCCATTTCCTTTCATTCATTGGTATATCCAGTGAGATGTGCCCAGACCCTGGGCACTGGAAGGGTATGAATGGCTCCTGCCCTCCTGGAACTTCATCCAGATGGGATGGGGCGGTACAAAGGGTCACAGGAGCAGCATCAGGCAGGGGGCCATTCCTAGGATGAGAGCCACTGAAGCAAAGGCCTAAGAAGTGTGAGCAATGCAGAGTGCTCCAGGCCTCCGGTGGAGTGTCATGGGGACCTGGGGGAGCACCACTGCTTCCTTCCTGCCCCTGCTCCTCTCCCTAGGGAACTGCTCACAGACCACAGGGTCCCTGGGCTTCTGCTAGAAGCCATGAAAGTGGCTGTCAGGAAGCAACGGAAGAAAATCAAGGCCAAGATGTTAGGAACACCAGAGGAGGCAGAAAGCAGGTAAGATGCCACCTAGGCCTGTGCTCCCACCCTCCCAAGTTCTGCTGAGCTTGCCATGCCAGCATAACCACTTACTGCCTGCCCTGAGCTCAACTGATCTCATCGCTCAGCCTGCAGACCTAGGCTCGTCACTTCTTGGACCTGCTAATCTATCCTGCTTTTCTCCCTGAGCCTGGTGCTCTACATAGGTCACCCCTTGGGCCTGCTGGCTGTGGGCTGGTCAACCCCTGAGCCTGCTGTTCAGCCTGCTGACCTTCTCTCTAGAACAACTCTCCTCCCACTGGTCCTGCCTGCTGTACACCCTGTCGGAAATCCCCACTAACACTACTTCTCCAGTTTCCTGCTATGGTTGGGTCTGTTTGTTGGAGAGGCTGCAGCCACTTCAGGGGCCTGCTGTCTGCCAAGCTACAAAGTCAAAGATTTAAGATGTCTCACATCTCCCAGCGTGTCTCCTGTCTACCTTGGGGAGAAGGGCTGGGGTAGCGGGGCCTGTGTGTCCTCCCATGCTGCTCCCGAGTGCTGGGGGAAAGGTTCAACATGAGCTGGACTCCTATTGGCTCTTGGGACCTTCATAGGCAGTCCTTGTGTCATCTCTGATTTAGTGATGATGAGGATGGCTCGTGGCCTCCACTCTCCAAAAGTAAAGAAGATGACGCCCCACCTCCCGAGTCCAGAATACAGAGTTTGTATGTTGAGGGAAGGGAAAGGGTAGGAGGGGGGTAAAGGAGGAGCCCTAGCTGCTTCTGCTCCGTACCCCCTCTTCCACACCTCTACCTCGCCTTGCTGTCCTGAGCTCTAATGACCCTCCCTCCTGCTTCCCTGTCCTAGGCCCATCAGCACCCTACAGCCTCACGCTGTTCTTTCCCTCTGTATTGTCTTTCTTTCCCTGCCTTCAGCCCATAGCCCTGACTTCTCTGGCTTCCCGTGTACCTCTTGGCTCGCCCTCTAGCTTTGGTCTGTGGTATCGGGGTGAAGCAGAGACCCCTCAAGTTGAGACCAGTGGCACCTCTCCCAGCCAGCTAGAGGGAGAAGAGGAAGCCCCCCAGCAACCTCACTTGGAGCCTGTTGGCAGCTCTCAAGCCCCCAACTCCTGAGTCGCCCTGCTCTGTGCCCAGTGAACACCCTGGTCTGAGGCCTTAGCTGCCCCAGAGGTCTGACATTAGGGCCTGGGTGGGGGTGGATGTGTGACCTCAAATGTGGACAGGCCTTCCACCTTTGTGGCCTTCCCTGGGCTTCACCTGCACTCCTAGCCTATAGCAGGTGTGATGGGCCCTCAGCTTGCCTCTCTTCCCTGACATCACACCCAAGCCTCAGGGCCACTGTAAGGCTCTTTCCTTCTGAGATTCGGGTTTCTTCATCCCTGAGAGGGAGGACTGACTGCCTACTGCCCAGGGGTTTGTGCACATGACCTGAGCTAAAGTAATAAAGCAGTTGCCCCCCAAGTACCCAGCATCTGTCCCATGTCTGTCTGTCAGTGGTCTGTGCCACCTCTCAGTCCTGCCATTGCAGAGGTAGGCTGAGGGCTCCTCACAGAGTTCTCACCTGGCTTTGAGAGTGAGGCCTGATGGAAGTCAGAGCTCTTCCCTGCCTCACCGCAGCCCTCTGCCTGGCCCACCAAGGTCCTCACAAGTGGCCTTCCTTTCTCTCATTTCTGAGTGTCTGGCTTTCCTGGTGTCCATCAGGCCCAGGGAGGAGCCTCACAGCAGTCCACCCCTCGGGGCTGGTTTCCTCAGGAAAAGCCTTGGGAGGAAGCAGGGTGGGGGTTGGGAGTTGCTAGAGCCAGATGAACCCAGGCCCTCCCACTCCACTGGCCGCCATGGGGCCGGAGCTGCTGCTCCCACTGCTGCTGCTCTGGACTCAGGGGACCCGAGAGTCCGAGCTGGATCCCAAGGGGCAGAATGTCTGCAGAGGCAGCAGGTGTGTCTTATGGGAAGGGGCTTTGGGACTAAACTAAATTGAGGCATTTCAAGAATGAGGATATGGAAAATTCACAGGGCTAAAGAGAAGGCGGTTTGAAGGGCAGCCTAGTTGGGGTAATAGAGAGTCAGAGCAGACAATGGGAAGGTTAGGGAAGGAGAGGGGACCGGTGGGGGACACAGGCTGTAATACTCCTCAGTCTGTGACACCAGGGGTAAATCTCTCCGGTAGGGCCGAGAAAACTCCCGTGCTTCAGCCAGAAGCAGAGACCTACACTTTGGGGCTGGGCTACCTCACTGACTCCCTTTTGCCCCACAGCCCCTCTGCCGAGCTGCTGTGCTGTCCAGGCTGGAAGCAAAAAGATGGCGAATGCACTGTCCGTGAGTAGTCAAGGAAAAGGGAGGACATAGTCCAGTGACAAGCCTTCCTTCCCACCCTGTTTCCCCCTGAGCCCTTGAACCAGCATCCCATGACACACATGCATCCCCACCCTAAGGGTTTGGGTGACTTTGAGGGAGTAGACCCCTAGAAATGGGGGAATCTCTTGAAGGACAGGGGGGATCCCTTGGTCATGTGTGTCCCAGCGATTTCTTCTCCACTGGGGTGTTTTTCAGCCATCTGTGAGGGACCAGACGCCTGCAGGAAAGACGAGGTGTGTGTGAAACCAGGCGTCTGTCGGTGCAAACCTGGATTCTTCGGGGCCCAGTGCAGCTCCCGTGAGTCTCAGCTGTTGGATGAAGTTGCTGGGTGCCCAGCTGGGATGGAGACATAGCAAGGAGAAAAGTAAATGGAGAGAAGAAAGCTACAGAGGAAATGGAGGCCCAGAGACAGGAAGTGATATGCTCTAGGGAGATGCCCTGAATCATCAGGTTTTGGCTGGGCATGGTGGCACATGCATATAATCTCGGGAGACTGAGGCAGGAGGATTGCTGTGAGTTTGAGACCAGCCTGGGCTACATAGTTTACAGCCAGCCTGTGCTATATAGTGAAATTTTGTCTCCAAAAAAGCCTCTAAATAAATAAATAAATAAATAAATAAACTATCAGGTTTTGCCTGTATAAAGACCCTGCTCATCAGGAACTTTCATCTTCCTCTTCACCCTCAGCAGAGATTCCCTATGATGACCCTGCTGTAACTGTACAATGGGCATAATTTTGTTCTTCCTCACATACACTTTGTGTATGGGTGAAGGGTGGAAAGAAGCCTGGGTCTGGGCTGCCTGGCCTCCCTCGCAGGAGGGAGGAGGAGAAAGGGTGCTGGGGAGCCTGGGGCAGGTACTAGCAAACTCACAGCTGGGAGGCTGGGGAAAGTAAGGCTTTTCCTATGATTCTGGTGGGCAGCAGCCAGCTGAGGTGCAAAGGAACACCCAGGTGGGGCGTTGAGTTCTCTAGAGGGAGGGAAGAAGGGCCTGAACAGAGCCACACCCACATAGGATGCTGGAATGTAAAGTGGAGGCTGGCCCAAGGCTGGGGGTTTCTGTAGTTTAGCGCGAGGCAGGAAATGAGCTTGGCCCCAGAAGGCCAGGCTGCCAGATGTTTCAAGTGTCTGTCCCTGGCCCTTGGAGGGCAGGCTGGCACCCCTTTTCCTTGAGGAAGGGGCTGAGCAAGGATCTGTGCCTGGCCCTGAGCCCGCTTTGTCCCCTCCAAAACCACAGCCTGCCCAAGCCAATACTGGGGCCATGACTGCCGTGAGACCTGCTCCTGTTACCCCCATGGCAAGTGTGACCCGGCCACAGGCGTGTGCCAGTGCCAAGCTGACCGCTGGGGAAAGAACTGTGAGTCCCTATGTTCCTGTGGGCCCCACGGACGTTGTGACCCCAAGACTGGCCAGTGCCGCTGTGACCCGGGCTGGTGGTCATCCACATGCCGCCGCCAGTGCCAGTGCAACGCTGCGGCACGCTGTGACCCAAACACTGGTTCCTGCGTGTGTCCGTTGGGCTGGTGGGGCCGCCGCTGCAACTTCAAGTGCTCCTGCCACAAGGTACCTTGTGCACCAGACACAGGCCGCTGCATCTGCCCACCTGGGTGGTTGGAGCCTGACTGCAAGCGGTCATGCACCCCCGGCTACTATGGGTCACAGTGCCGCCAAAGGTGAGCCAGCTGGGTTGGGGAGGGGGCTGGCCAGGGTGCGGGAGAAGACTCAAGTGGAAGTAGGCAAAGGTGAGTTAGGGGCATAACAGGAAGAGATGGATGTGAGGGAAAAGGGTGGGAGAGGGGCAAGGGGGACCAAATGCTGTCTCCAAAAATATGCAAGACAGAGAACAGAGGAAAACAAAACCTTTGCTGTCCTTAGGTCCAGCTGTGGCCAATCTTTTTTATCCAATTATTCTTAAAAAATATTGGTACTTCCCCGGCCTGCTACGCCAGCCTGGGGCATGCACTGAGAAGGCAGTTGAGACTGGGCATGTTGGAGCACACCTGTAATCCCAGCGCTTGGGAAGCTGAAAACAGGAGAATCACAAGTCCGATCTATGTAGTGAGACCCTGTAGACCCTGCATCCCCTGTACTAAATGCAAAAAAACCAACAAGTGTTGGTACTAACAGGCTATATGATGAAGAAGAATTCATGTACCAAAACCCAGCAAGGTCCCTTTAATAACCAATGGCCTAGCTGGGTATAGTGGCGCTTGCCTCTGAAATCACCACTTGGGAGGCAATGCGGAGGCAGGAAGATCACTGCAAGTTCGAGACCAGCCTGGGCTATAAAGTGAGCTCAAGGCAGAAAGTCACACAAAGACAAAAAACAATGTGAGGCTCTGTAAACAAGATGTGTAGAACTATACCAAAAAAGACAGATCATAAGTCTGAACAGCATACATAAATCTGAGCAGCATACCTCAGTTGTAAGTCTGAACAGTCACTAATAGGTAGGACACTAAAAGGGAGTATCTGTATCAGGTTCCATCTTTTGAAGAACCATCATCTTTTGATATCAAACTGAAGTTGAGATCTTTAGTTTCCAGGTCTCTTTATAGGTCCCTTTATTGTTGTCAAGATAAATATCATGTGGTTGGGTCCGGTAGTCCCTGAGGCTGAAATAGAGAACTTAATCCACCCTTTTAAAATATGTTTCAGGGGGCTGGAGAGATGGCTCAGTGGTCTAGAGCACCTACTTAGAACAAGCTTAGCAAAAGCATCGGGGACCGCGGTTCGATCCCCCAGCACCACATGCCAGCCAGCCCGCCC